CTTGGGTTGGGTTTGTTTCTTTTCTTCCTTCTGGCCCAGCACATTTCAAACTTTATTGTTTTTCTGGGAATAGCTGTTTATTTTCCTCTGCATGGCTTTCTGCTTTCATCTCTCCTCTATTCAAGTCAGTAGTCCCCCTTCTTGTGAATCTCTTTTCCCCTGAGACCTTCCTGATTTTTTATCCCCTTTTCCATCCCATCTCCTGGCAGCTCAATAGATTTTCAGCCTTTCTCTCCTCATTTCCTGCCCTTTACATGTATTTGTCAGTATGTCCTCTCTCTTACACCTTCCCCACATCACCATCAAGCCTTTTGCAAAGCAGCCCTCCAGCCTCGAGAAGAACAGGGAGTATCTGATGGAGAGAGCCTCTACTCTGGCTTTACAACATGGTGCAGTCCCACAGCACGCTGCAGCCCCAGTGAGCAGGCTCACCTGCAGGGCTGTTGTTGATGCTTGGGCTGGAAACGTGCGTCGCTCCTGCAAAATCTAAAGAGCATCCAGAGTGTTTGTGCATCACTGCCCCCAGCCTGGCCCTGTCAGGGTGGTGCAGATGGTTTCTCCTGCTCCGTGTGCTGAGGTGTTGCAAGGCAATGCAGAACCCTGGCTGCTCTGGAGGATGCTCCTGAGCCCCCCTGTTCAAGCTCACTGTCTCTGTAGCTGCGAAGCCTGGTTCTGAGGATGACCCTGATGCCATCCTCCTTTCGGATGTAACCCCGGTGTGCCTGAGGGCTGTGCTGGGGGGACTGGAGGTCTTCTGGTGCCTGCGTTGGAACAATTGGGTCATTGCTACAAGTGGAGCTCTCCCTGTTGCATGGGAATGTGCTCGCAGCGCTGTTCTCCCGCAGCCCTGCACATCCCAGGGTGACATTTCAAACAGGCTGCTCTGTGCTCTTCTCTCTCCTGCCCTTCTCCCCACAGCCTCTAGGCTCTGCTTTCTCTGGCGTGGCCTTGGTGGCCCTCACACCTCCCAGGGCTCCCATCGGAGCCCGTGCACCCATGCATCAGCGCTGGTGGTGGTTCCTGCAGCTCTCAGCAGCTCACTGGATCTTACGTGCTGCTGGCATTACCTCCACTCTTTTCTTAGCATAGGCATGAGATAGAGCACAATGGAAGGTCTATCCTCCCCAGGTCCCATGAGGGTGGCTCAGCCAACAGCAGGCACGATGCAGTCCCCTTGGATGCAGGGATGGAGTCACCCATCAGCCCACAGAGGTTCCCAAGGAGGATTTGATCACTGCCCTCCAGGATCTTCAGTCGCTGGGTGGTGAAGCCACCCCTTGGAGCTCTTCTAAGTGTTTGCTTTTCCTTCTCTTTTCCCTCCCCTGATTCTTATTTGGGAACCTCGTTTCGGGGATTAACCTCGGGGCCGGCGCGTCTCCTAAGAAAGATGCTCTCACTTCATTAAGAGATAATGGAAGCTGTCAGAGATTTGAAGGACTGCACTCGTGATGGGAGCAGGAGGGGGAAGAGATATATTTGCAGCAAAGTTACATTTTCATGTAAATTGTTTAAAGATTTAAATGGTTTCTCTTAGGAGGGGTCAGTGGGGCTGTGCGGAGGGCTAAATTAGTCCTTCTGTGCAGAAGCGTTATATTGTCCGTATATGAAAAGGAATAATGCAAGCTGTTATTCTTTTCCTCCACTCTCTCATTTCATCTCATGCTCTCTGCCTTTGTTCTACTTCTACACCTGATGGGGAAAGGTTGGCAGATCCAGATCCAGCTCTCGTCCCCTCAGTGAAGCCGTGGAGTGCGAGCAGGTCTCTCTCATTCATTTATCTGGGCAAGGCTGGCACTTCACTCGAGGCAGTGCTGGGCCAGCCAGCTGGTAGAGGAGCAGGTGTCTGGTTTGTGCTTGGGAAAGGGGAGATGTCCTTGCTCCTCCAGTGTGCAAGATCCCAGAAACAAGCTGCCTTTTTCAGCAAGAGAACATCCAGACCGCTGAGCAGATTTCAAGCCAGTCAGTCGAGCACGGAGGGAGGCACACACCCACATGCACACCAACATGCTTTTCATCTCCATCTCTTCTAACGCCAGCCTCAAACAACTCTTCTCCCTGTCCCCCAAACTGTTCCTCTTGCAGTTGCTCGCTCAGACAGCAGCTCCATCCCCTCCCCGTGCAGTCTGCCTTTGCCAAACCCTTGCGGGTCCACAAGGATCTTCATCCCACCCATTCTCCCACCAGATCTGCTGTCCATTAACCTCTGGTGAACGTGGTTGATTGGAGTCGTAGCAGGACTCCAAACAAGGCCTCTTCAGGGCTCCATGCAATGACAGAAGCACTTCCGTTTCCCTAAAGGGACTGTCTCTCCTCACACCCTCTACTATGGGATTTGTCTTTTTCAGAGCCACCTTACATCCGAGATGTATCATCAGCCCATGATTGGCATGTTCCTCTCTGCTTTTCTCCCTCTTGCTTGCTTCCAACGGGTGAGCTTCCAGCTCAGAGCAGAACTTCCTTTTACAGGAGGTTCTGTGCCACTGCTGTTTCTCAAGGTCACCTCATTTCTCCCACAGGAGAAATGGATTCCTTTCAGCTTTGGGCAATCAGCAGTCTTCCTAAATCCAATACGTCCCTCTGTGCCAAAGCCACCAGTGGAAATGCCAAAGAGATGAGTCTCTTGGCCACTGTTTGAGGAACTCCACTTGTACTCCCTGAATCCATCTCCTGCTCTGCAGAGCCAGCGCTGATGCCCACATGAAGTAGATGTTCCAGGATTTTCATGCCTAAAAGAAATGGTTCCCTTTTCGAGGAAGAGTGCCAGTTAATGTCACAGATTTGGATGGATGTCCTCACAGGTCAGTTCAACTCTCATTTTATCACAGGAGTAGGAGCCCTGAGTGCCTGTCTGCAAAGGGCACCAGCTCCGTGAAGGTGGTGTTTGCTCCTGGGCTGCTCAGTGGAGGAAATTTTGGCTGTTGATTTGGGTTCTATCCAATTGTTGGCTTGTTATCGGGATGCTGTTTGCAGAATGTGGCCTCGGGTGGGGGTTATGGCCATCAGGTGGTGTGTTTGCAGAGCCCATATGGCACGACCTATCCTCCATAAAGCCATATTACATTGGACTCTCTTCTCTGCTCCCCTTCAACATTGGCTAGAAATGGAAGTGTACTACTGAGATCAGAATAGAGGCTCTTTAGTTGTCACGATTACTCTTGCCCCATTTCCTTAAGCGTGGGTGCTGTGTTTGGTAAACTCCAGGCATATGGTTCCACTCCCAGTTTGTTACATGCAGTAAAATTCCTTGTTGCCATGCTGGTAATTTCATATGCTAATTCATTGCAAAAAGCCTCAGCTACTGACCTGGTTTAATATCTCCTTCCATGTAATTGAAATGGCATCAACTTTTGATCGCTGGACCCATGTTTATTTTCTAGGTCAAGCTCTTCTGTAATGTCTTCACATTCACTGAAATACTACTAAAATAGCCTTGTGTCTTCCTGGATCAGTAACCATTTGGAGACAAAATCTGTTTATTATCATGCTCAGGAATAAGTGGTGCCTGCAATAAGCAACATTTGCTCTGCAATCTGTGCCTGAAAAAATGAAAGCCTCCGTGATGACTCAGTCCCATTTTGACTGGGGAGATCTAAACTCGGTCTCCAGCATGACTTCCAAACTCCTTGCAGAGATCTTCCCCCAGAAAACTTCTCTTTCAATCAGCCTAACCCATCCCTGTCCTTTGGTCTGTCCTTGTCTGATTCCACTGCCTGTGTTGTGGAGGTAGGGATGGATTATGTGATTCTCCTCGTCTCGCTCTGGGTTCCTCTGGTTCTTAGAGTGCTCTGCTGAGATTTGTCAGCCGTAATCTCATCATGCAACAACCCAGAGCTAACCAGGGGGAATTTACTTTGTGGAAAGAATTCTTTCCCCTTGAATAGCTCAGCATCCTCAAACCTTTCTCGTGGCATCAGCCCTTGGTGAGTCTGTTGGACTGCATCCTCTCGGGTGGCAGAAACAACCTCTGACAGTCACTCTTCGGACACCTTACAGCTCACTGCTGGTACCTGCAATCAGTTCCTGTGGGATTCTGCCACTGTTACTGTCCCAGGGTAAAGGACAATTAATATCTTTTCACTTAAGATCACCTTTTTTCTCTTTGTTTCCCCTCAGCAGCCTTCTGTTCTTTGGTCCCAGATAAGCAGCAGGCTCATAATTCCTTCCTAACAAGTCCCTGCTCACAGATACCTGCCTGTTTCCAAGGTTGTGCAGATCTGGTTTGTTCCCCCATGCGGTCTTCCTCCTGTTTTCTCTTTGTCCTGTTCTCCTTGAAGTCCTCTGAGTAGCATCTTATCCCTCTTTATACTTCAAACCATTGCGGTCTCCACTGACTGCCTCTTTTCTGCTGAGACTGGTTTTACATTCCCTTTCGGAAGATCCCTGTTGGTCTGGGGCTGGGATCTTCCAGCTGTAAACCGTTTATTTCAGGAATACGTCTGAGGCTGGTACAGATGCCAACCCCCCTGAATCCTGTTGTTTATTACCGTTTCTTTGTGGGGCATTAATTCTAACTGCCACCATTTTTCCAGTCTCTAGACTTAAGCAGTGAAACTCCCAGATTCCCTCCTAGGCACTCTCACATGAGATCTCCTTTGCTTTCTTCTCCCTTTCATGTTTTGTGTTTTCCCACATAGTGTTTGGTACTCGCTGTGCCACAGCCTGTACTCAATGCTTTATTCAAGAATAGAGATCAGCAGCTGGAGAGGATGCTTGGTGAAGGGGTTGTGGGTGTGACTGCAGGAGGTGTTGCTGGGTTTCAGGATGTGGAGAAGGAAGTTTTCCTTTATTTCTAGCATGCTGGAGGGGGATTCAGTGAAAGGGATGGGGTTGCATGGCCAACCTGCACAAACTGCCGTGGCACCCAGGAGAGTGGAAGGGATATGCGGGTAGGTGATATCACACCTTTCCTTCCTCCCTCCCACATTCCCAGCCCTCGGCTGTTAGTGAATGTGAGCTCACACCAGCGTTGCTGACCTCCTGGTGACGTAAGGACACCAGTAATCTTACATTTTATTCAGAAGCTATCTCAGAGTCAATTCGTGCCTTTTGGGGAGGGGAGCACCCTGCTGCCTGCCTCATACTGCCACCTTCCACGTCCTCCCTTGGTGCTTCGGCATCAGGCAGCTTCTTCAGCCCTTGGCCTGAGTCTTGACGATGGATGCCTGGCACAGCCTCCCCGCAGAGCTGGCGGAACACCGGCAGCCTTTTCTTGGAAGCAGGGAAGTGTTCCAAGCCCTGGGCTTCCTCCTCCAGCTGCATGGGGAAGGTGAAAAAGGGGGGGGGGGGTATTTGAGTTGAAGAGGGCAGTAGGCAGGTCCTTTGTAGATGTTGTGGATGCCTGCAGCTGCCAGGATGTGAGATGCAGTGATGTTCTTGCAGCCATCAAGGAAGACGTATTCGATGTTTCTGGAGGTGTGGAGGAGCTTGCACTCAACCAATAGGGAGAATCTCTCAGCTGCACACTGGGGAGCTGGTTCCCACATTGTTACTGGCCTCACCTAGGGATAAATCACACAGATGGCAAGGTGAGGAGCTGGGGAGGAACGCTCAAAACTAACCCTGACAGATCTCCATTTCCTGAATCCTCTCTTCCCTCCCTCCTCTAAACAGACCAACTTGGACAACGCTCACCTCAAGAACAGTAACACAACTCCATCATCAACTGTCATGCCAAAATCAGAAGTAGGTATCCACCAAACTTAAGACTTTGTTGTGTTTGTCATGGAGAAGAGGCTGGAATCTCAAGCTCCAGTTCATAGATGACTACAGTTACCACCAGCCTGGCAGTGTGGGAGTGTGTTGTCAGAGACAGGCAAGTTGTCTCTGTCATTCTTGGAGTTATTCCTCTTTACAGGAATGAGTAACCACTGAATGGATTTAGGTTCTGAAACTGCATCTCTGGGGAAAGGCTGACCCTGCGCGCACTCAAGCAGCCTTCTGTCTTCTCCCAGAGTGACCCAGTGAACATTTAAGCTCTCTCCCAGGTTTTGTACATGGCTGTGTAAAATACAGATTCTCTGGGAGGGGAAAAGACCCAAGAGATGTGGCCTACTCTGTGCTTTGGTGCCTGGCAGAGACCTACAGAGTTGACAAGGAGGGATGGCGACCAACCCAGTTCATGGATAATTCACCTCATGCATAAGTCATGCCCACACATTTCATGGATAAATTAGTGGATGGGCTTACAAGATCAGGATCTCACGTGGAAGTGAAGGCTCTGTCGTGAGCAAAGCTGATGGGAAACTCTAGCTGTGGGACAGTTTGTGAGTGTGGCAATATGCCAATGCCTGAGAGAGCAGAAAACAGTGCGCTTCCCTGGATGTGGGTATCTCTCAACCTGGCCAAACTCAAAATGTGTTTGGAACAGTTTCCTATCTCTAATGGCCAACATTGGATAAAGGAGATGTGAGCATCCCAACTCCAGTGTGTGGAAGCAGGAAGTCTAATATCTTGGGGCTTGTCCAGAAATCCTCTGCAGTCCAAATGCCCAGCTATACCCTACAAAAGGACGACACTGCCAAAGGGACTGGACCATCTCCCAGCAGATGACAACTGCAGCTGGGATGTTCCCTTAGATCAGGTTCAGGACCAACGCCCAAGACAGAAAGCACTCAATAAGAACATTGCACTGGTAGGGCCCAATCGCAGACCCCAGTTTACCTTCATAGCAGAAGGTAAACTTCACCCAGAGGTGGTCGGAGGTACCAGCATTCTTGCCTACGCCATGGTTTGATTACAGATGGTGGAGGCTGACCCAAGGCCCCGCTTGCCCTCGCTCTGCCAACGTGTTCACGATTGTTACCTCTTTCCATGCGTTTTCATGACTGCTCTTTTCTTCCCTTCCAAACACAAACCAGAATGGGGTGGTTGATTCTTTTCCCATGGCGTGAGAGTGCCAGAATTTCATGCAGTGAAGGAGGAAATCTGTGCTCTTACTTCGACTTGGGCCGTAGCATGGTAACGTGTTTAAACCACTGATGGGGAAGGCAGACAGCACCCAACTCCTTGGATTCACAGCAGGCCAGATCTTAAAGCTCCTCTTGCAGGCATCAAACAGGCATTAAACAGACCAGTTGAAGGCTGAATTATTGAAATCACCCTACGTGAAACACTTCTCTGCAAGAAGATGAGGGCTCTCCTTCCCTGGTTCATTTTCTCTGCGGGGTGTCAGAAATACTAAGGCTCATTCTGCCTTTCCCATCCCCCTTGAGATACTTGGAACAACTGAAGCACTCCCAGCTGTAAGCGGTGAGGAGAAGCAGACAGGCCAACCCAATATGGGTGATAAGCAACTTCTAGTTTATTTGTGACGCAGTTCACACATATGTAGGAGTGGTATTCAGCCACTCCTTCTTGGCACAACAGTATTGGTTAGCCCCACACAGCTTCCTCCACATTCTCCTCCCAGGTCCGGTCTCTGGCCACCTGTGGGGGCCACCCCTGCCTTGCTTGCACAGTCCTCCAGAACTCTGTGGTCCTGCTCTTAGAGTCATTCTGCAACAATTCCCCCCTTTTTCTTTGTGCAAGCAAGGCATTATGGGTTATTCTGTTCACCTGTTTTATCACACAACTATAAATAAGTCTAATAGCTACGATGATTAACCTAACAATGATACATAAGTGCAATACTTCAAACAACAGTGTTTGACTCAACCTGTAATGCCCCGTGAAGACAACCATCTAGTTATTCTTAGGATATTGCTCATTTACTATTGCTGGGTAAGCTGAGCCAGGGTTCTCAGCTGTGCGTGCATCGAATTAGCATTATCAGAGAGACTCATACAACACATTCCATCAAACTCTTCACATCCATGTCCCTGTTCCAACAACAAAAGGTTCTGCAGTGTTGCATGTCTTACAGAGTCAACATTAAAACAAATCAGGAATTGCCTTCGATGTAGAATTGTCTGCTTAGCAACTCAGCAACCCAGTCTGCTTAGTTGAGCCAAGGCCCCAGCTGAAGCACTTACAGTGATTTGGCATATTATGATTGGATATATGTTTTGAAGACCCTTAGTGACTAACATATAATTGGTTAAACACAGGTGTGAGAACTCAACCTTGAAAGCTTGCCAACAGTCCACAGTTCTCATTAACGTGGTGAATTCCAGCCTCTTATCTTGCTTGCTTAAGCTTCTTCAGGCCTCTCATGGCCTTGCTGTATCTTTCAGGACTATTCAAAGTTTATGTACCAATTATGCATTCTCCTGTGAGAACACTGTCTCCACATCTCCCCCCTTTTGTTTTATCCAGTAACAAGTCGCTACTACAGCAAGGCACACACAAATTTACATTAGCAGAGTAACTATTACAGGGTGCAGCAGCATGTTGAAGATGCTGATGGCAGTGAAGGACTAGCCAAAGAAATTTCTTACCAGTGGAATTCTCCCCCCCTCTTAATTTGTTCCATCACCTGCTTTATAACACTACCATTGTATTAAAATTTTTCTAGCTTTTGCCTTAGCATTTTCTAGCAGCTACTGCAAATTTCCATACTCTAACATCTCTTTTACAAGTGACAAATCTATACAATACAAGGTGCAGTTTCTTATTAGCAACTAGCTAGTAAACACAGGTGGTTTTATACACAAAATCACAACCTCTAATATAGCTACTTTACAAGCACACATATTCAGGATGTTACTTTTCAGTTGTCCCCAAGTGATGTTTTGCAGTTATTTGTTCTTTCTCTTCCTCTATCTCATTCTGCTTGGGGTAATCACGGTCAGCTCCTGTAGCTGACGCATCAGGTTTATCCATTTGTCTGTCCAGCTCATGGCAGGGCTTCACAAACTTTGCAGACAGTCGCCATGGACCTGTAGGCAGGAGGACACAAATATACCCCCTCCCCCAGGTTATCAGTTCTTCAGTTCTTGAGAAGTAGACAGGTTAGACAGGTTAAGTGCAGCATCATTACTCTCTCTCTCTCCCCCCCCCTTTTTTTTTTTTAGTCCCTGCAAAAGCTATCATTATTCCCACTACAGTTCCACGTACAGAACGTGGCACAAGGACCCTGTGGAGACTAACAGCAAACCAGCTCTGAGAAGCATCATTGCAGTGCGAGGTGGCAGGCTCAACCTTAGCGGGCGTCCCCGCAGAGGCTCTGCCTCCCCCACATCGTATGAGGCTTGGGCTTTTATACTGACCAAAATGCACACTCATTCCGACACAGGTGGCCAGCCTGTGCTGGAAGAAGTGGCCAGCAGTATCTACAGAGGTCTCCAAGGGTTGATAGAAACCTGGACATACTTATATTTACCAACTTCTAGTACATGAGTATCACAGAGAAACTGTATGGGCTCCCCCTGTCAATTGCAAGAAAAAATCATAACATATACAGCTTGAGTATAAGAGGATTTTAACGCATACGTGGTCACTGTTTGTCAGGCCTCCTTAACTATTTTGAGATCAAGAGCTTCCCACTCTTTAGCCCCCTGCTGTGTAGTAAACACAGGATATGCAAAGATGCCCATTGCAGAAAATTCCCCAGTAATGATCACATCTTTGGTTACCCATTGTTATAACTCAGCGTCTCCAGGGCCAGTAAGTCTGAGCAGACCGACCCGGGAGACACAGAGTCAGGGTCTGAAAGCAGAGGATATAAATCTGGCTCGGATTCAGGGGATTCGGGGGCTGATCCTGCGCCGAACTCGGGGTCTCCTTTGCTTGCAGCTGTGTCTTTCTTATCAGGTGTATCTCGTTCGGTATGTGGCCATCTGCAGACCTGGCTCCTCCGTGACTGAGTTAAAATTTTTTTCACTCTAGGGCGTAGTGGGTTGGAGAGGCTCGCGGTTCCTTTAAATCTCCCGCTAGGGCATGATCCCTATTTTCTACTGCGTGCTTCAAAATGGCGCCGCAATCGATCCGGCGCCGAGGCACCGCCCTCTTTCTTTTGGATTCCTCGACTTTTATCATGCGTGTACCTTCTAATATACTTTCTCTGTCCTTTTCAAAGTCCCTACTTTCGGAACTGGGGTGGTGGGGGAGCAGGGGGTTACACCTCCTCCGCGGCACCTTCTGATGGAGGGGGAGAAAAGGAAAGGGGGGGGGGGTGGGGGGTGGGAAACCCTGTGCTCCCGCGAGTTGTGGGGGGGAACGAGTTGTAATCTTCCCCCGGTTTCAACCGACCAGGGACGTCTGTTCCTAGTTTCTCCGTTGCTACCACGGCAGTTTTCTGCCTTGTATCTTTTTATACAGTTCATTACTTCCCTCCGTGGTTTACCGAGTTTCTTTGCTGTTTTACCATCATTAAGCACTGAGTCAAATAGTTCTTCACTAAACTTTCGCCACTCGCTCTCCTCAAAAACTGTATCAGGAACTACAAAAAATCCCTTAGCCTTCCCTACAGCCGCTAGACCTGCTAGCTGCTTTAGAGTCTCAGGCTCAATTCCCCGCTTTTATAAAAAGCACTGTAAAAGTTCAGGGCTCAGTTCCCCGCTTTTATAAAAAGCACTGTAGTAAGTCCAGGGCTACCTCTCGGTCCATTTTCATGGCCAGCCTTTTCCGGATCGTCTTCTTCTGGGTCGTCCTGTAACCTCGGTCTCCGGATCGGCCTCCCGGCGCAGGAGTGTCTGGTTCGCCCCCGTGGCGGATTCCTTTCGGTTAGTCCAAGCACCCGGGTCCGTCACGCCACCGCAGCAGCATTGCACGCGCTTCCCGGCCGCTGCCGCCGGCGCCACTCACTCGCCGTTCCGGGTCCCCGTCGACCGGGGCCTTGTATCCCGGGTCCCCACTAGTCGGGGCCCTGTAATCCGGGTCCCCAGTGACCGGGGCCCTGTAATCTGGGTCCCCGCTAGTCGGGGCCCTGTATCCGGGTCCCCAGCGACCAGGGCCCTGTAGTCCGTGTCTGTGTTCGGGCGCCATTTGTAAGCGGCGAGGAGAAGCAGACAGGCCAACCCAATATGGGTGATAAGCAACTTCTAGTTTATTTGTGACGCAGTTCACACATATATAGGAGTGGTATTCAGCCACTCCTTCTTGGCACAACAGTATTGGTTAGCCCCACACAGCTTCCTCCACATTCTCCTCCCAGGTCCGGTCTCCGGCTACCTGTGGGGGCCACCCCTGCCTTGCTTGCACAGTCCTCCAGAACTCTATGGTCCTGCTCTTAGAGTCATTCTGCAACACCCAGCTGCCAAGAAACATTGAATATTTATGAATCCCCTTAGTCACAGAGGTAGGGACCATTCCAGCCAGCCTAGTTTGGCATGCCTTTGGCCTTGCCTCCTACAGGGCATCAGAACTTGCTCCCAGAGGTTTTTCCACCACCCTGGAGCTGATCAGCAGTGTGTCCAGTTCAGGTGGCCAACCCTAGCAAGTAGCTTCAAGGACAGAGACACTTCCTATGCTCCTGCACTGCCTTTTGGGGTAAGGAATACAACTGAAATTGCCTCGGGATGTGCCTCCACAGCTTCAACCTTGCAAGCAGAGAAGCAGCAAGTCATAGGGAAAAGTCTCCTGACTTCCTTACTGCTTTCTCACCATCCTTATCCCTTTATTGCACTGCATATGGTGTTTGCTTCCACCTCCGAAAGAAAAGCAAGCCCAGTACAGCCATCAAAATGAAGCAAGCAGTGATTTTCTTCTTCTTTGTTCTACATTTTCCCGTTCCCCATCTTACTGTAACAGAGGGAATAGGGAGGATTAATCATAAGAGGTTGTTCTTTGGGCAAAATGAAATCCAACTGGGAAAAGCAGGGGGTTTCTCTTTTATCTTCTTATTTGTGTTCCAGCCTGCACAGAAATGATTCTTGAAATTCCTCCTAAGTATTTGGTGTGAAAGGGAAAGTCCTTGGGTTTGGGCTGTGTGTGGGTTTTATTACTTTTTGTTAAACGTATTTATTACCTTCTTTTACCTGTCTCTATCAGGTGGTGCATTCAGAGACCCTGGTTTGAGAAAGCTTCTGAAACTGCGTGTCTTTGCCTGATCAAGGCACTTGTGTAAACGCTTTGTGGGTGCCTGCATCCCTCACAGATGAGAGATTCCGCAGGGCAAGAGGCAAGGTATTTCCTGTTGATACACTGAGAAAACAATCTGGCTTTTAAACACATTTCCAGGTAGAAGGAATGGTGTGAGGCTTGTGCTGTGGTAGAAGGCTGTAGGAAGGCTTCTGGCTGAGCTGTTGAACAGCTCTTTTTAACCAGGAGAGAAGCATGGCCAAGTAGGCTTGGCAGCAGAGGGTGCAGGAACAGCACCACATACACATACCTGTGAGCTGTGTCCAGCGCTTACCAGTATGGACACAAAGCCAAGATCTCCTGAACCCCAAATGCTGTAAGCTAAGGTAACAGTGACAGTGGTTCTGGTTGTGTAGCAACCTGAAGAACTCTCAACAAGGAACTGTGTGCAGGAAAGCCGAGATGGGTGATGATAGCTGACTTGCATTAGTCAGCAATCTATCTCACTGCTCTCACTCCTGAGGCCATCTGGTCCTATGGAGACTTCTCTGCACTCAGCATTGGCCTCCCTGGACCCAGCAGGAGTGCAAGAGCTGCTCAAATGTTCATTAAGAACCCCAATCTTCTGGGATACTCACCGAAATCCTGGCTACTTTTCTGTTCGGCCTGCCTGACGATGCACTCCTGCCTCCTCAAAGCACTCCTCAAAGCACTGCTGCCTCCTCAAAGCACTCCTCAAAGCACTGCTGCCTCCTCAAAGCACTCCTCAAAGCACTGCTGCCAGTGATGCTGCAGAGATGCTGTCCAGCCCGGCTCTGCAGGGTTCTGGCACAGGTTGTGACATTCCGTTGTCACCCAGGCAACGGAATCCTGGACTCCAGGTCGCAAAGGCCCCACCCCTCAAGTGCAGCACCAGTGCAAACGCAACGTGCCTTTGTCTCTGTTGGGATGCTCTACACGAGCAGAACGGGAAGGATCTGAGGACCGTCTGTATCGCGTGACTTCCCACCGCAGACTAGAGGTGTCTCTGCCCTCTCACTGAGGCATAGGAGTTAAAGGTCTCTAGGGGAGCACTTGCCTCATCAGATGTGTTGTGGTCACAGGATGGATGTAGCCCTGCTCACACCAGAGTGTGATAGCCACTGTCAGCACACATTCCAGTTCCCTTTAACCAGACACGCATCCAAAGGGACACCTGTATCCTGGTGACATGATCCAGCTGCACACGCATGGCAGTGGCATGCTTGCAAAGGGGAATTCTGGGGAGCTCTCTGGGGTTTTAAGTTGCTTGTCCTGCTATTAGCTCCCGAGTGAGCCAAGTATCACTGTAAGCTATAGTGAGAGTGGTTCTGATCAGGTAGCAACCTGACTTCACAGGTTGTGGTGATGCTGCTTCCAGGCTGAGTGAAAAAACCCTGGTACCCCCTGTCATATCAGAGCTACATAACTCTCCAGGCTTGCTGAGGATAGAGCAGAGCCTGGTACACTTCGTAGGGCTCAGGCTTCCTGTCCTAAAACATCTCTTGCAGCTTTTAAACAGCTTGCTGCATTAAAACCCATGAATGAATCGAAGTCATTCTTGGAAAGAAATAGGCTGCAGGATTTGTAGCACTCTGGGAATTGGGAGCAGCACTGCTTTGTAAATTAGATCTATTAAGTACTTCGTAACAGCAAAATTTGATGTGGTTCTTTTCTTCAGAGAGGTCTGAGGTGGCTCTGTTCATCAAGCCAGCCTTTCAGAATCACCCAGGAGGTCATATTTGATCCCAAGTTAATTCCTAATGAGATTTCCTACTTCCCCAAGGCTTTCTCATGATGTAAACAAAAAGGCAGACCTTTTAATCCAGGTGTTCCTCACCTTTGAAGAAGTTTCTACAATACCAAGTATTGCCAATATCTAACAAGGCAGAACTGAAGAGTTCTGGTCCTTGGGAACCATGAGCCTGGATGTGAGGGGGATGGCTCATTCCTGCAGTGGGCAATGCTCACTGCTGCATGTAGTTTATCAAAGGCTGTTTAGTTTATCCAAATGAGTTTTGGCTTTGTGCAACGTGTGGAGGGTGGTGATTGAAGACCCAAGCAACAGTGTGAAACTGTAAGCTTGCATTCAGCGTGTCCTTGTCATAAATGAGCCAGCAGTCCTCTGATGTGAGTGCTTCTGGTGGTGCCAGTGGTGTTTGCTGGTATTACCAGTTCATCCAGAGCTGCTTAAAGCTGCCTTCAGCTGCAGATCTCATGTGGCTCAGCACGCACACCACCCTAACCCCTGTGAAACACAACTACTGCGGGACAGAGCTTGAGGAAGTGTCTAGCAATGCCCAACAGATTGATGAATTGGGCAGCAGAGATGCTGGACGGCTGGAGATTCAGAATCTCTCCAAACAGGCAAGTGGAAAGAGGAACCAGGCCAAGCTTAAATTGGAGACAAGGAGCAATTCCTTCCCCAAAGGATGCTCAGGCATTGGAACAGGCTGCCCAGGGCAGTGCTGGAGTCACCAGCCCTGCAAGTGTTCTCACACTGTGTAGATGTGGCCCTCAGTGCCATGGGTTAGTGGTGGCCTTGGCAGTGCTGGGGAATGGTTGGACTGGATGAGCTTAAAGGGCTTGATTCTGTGATCCTCTCACACAGGGTGGGGAGCCCACACACATAACCCATCCCCCCACACCCCCTCCAAACCCCCCACCCCCTCCACCCACACCACCCCCCCCACCCCCCCACCCCCCCCGAGCTGATAAACAGAGCCCTCCTCTTTCAATCACAGCATTTCAGAAGGTGCTTTTATTCCTCTGCCTGCATCCCTCTTGTTTATTCCCTCCGTGCATTGATGCAAAGGTCATACATTTGCAAGAGCCTGCCAAAGATAATACACATCCTGTTAAGAGTTACAAGATCATCAGAAGTAAAACTGAAGAGATAATAAACTGGCAGGAAAGCTGAAGAGTGAGAAACCAAAGCGGAACAGAGAAGTGACAATGTTATCTTTGTTTAACGCTCCTCTGAGTCACCATTAGTTATTTAAGATACTCATCTGGTAGCTCCCAGCCCTGTCAGATGAAGAGATCCAAGGGGTGGTGGTTCTTCATTGCCAAATAAGTTGCTCTGGTCTAAAGGGAGAGGAAGCTTCCATGAATGATGGATGCATTTCACCGCAGCTCACTTTGGAGGCTGGAAGCAGGCAGTTTACCACCACATGGGGCCATATGGTAGGACATGGGCTTGTTTCTGGGTATGAGTGTTTCTGTGGTGGGTGGTCTACAGAGGCTGTAATGTGAGGACAGTGAGGATAAGGAGGACATTGAGGATAAAGAGGACATTAAGGATGACAGCAGCACCAGCCCATTTCCACACCTGGAAACCAGATGCTTCACAGACAGCCCAGGATACCTGACCTTTGGAAAGAGGGTGTCAAATGGGAAAAGACAGCTCCAAATCAGCTGCTGTAGTTGTCCAAGGAGTATGAGCACAGGTCCATCACAGGGCAAACTGGGTGTGCAACCGAGATGAGCATCCAGCTCGACCATGGGCCTCTCCAAATACCTGGACCATGCAGCACCTCTGTCCCCATTTATGCCATCTCTTTTTCTTCACTCCCAAAGACAGATCTCCAATTCAAGAGGAAAGACCCAGGATCCATCTGTCCTGCTGCATGAAGGACCCTGTGTGCACCCACGTGTGTGTGTTTGGGGAAGCACCTTCTCCCTCTGTTTTCTGCTCCTGTCATTTAGCCAGGATCCAGGAGATTAACAAGAGCATCAATTTAACATAGTGGCTCAAAACGGTCAAGACAGCCTTTCCCTGAGGGCTATGCAGGCAGAAAGGAGGCACCTGGCAGGGAGAAGTGATGAAGAGGGAAGGAAGGAAAGGAAACATGACTGCCCAGCTTCCATTGATTCATGTCTAGGGCAGAGGAGAGGGCATAAAGGGTGACAGGAGGGACAGAGAGCACAGGGTGCTTCTCAAGGGGAATGGTTTCAAACTGAAACGGGAAGTTCAGGTTGGAGATAAGGCAGAAGTTCTTCCCTGTGAGGGTGCTGAGGTGCTGGCACAGGGTGCGCAGAGAAGCAATAAGTGCTCCATCACTTACAGTGTTCAAGGCCAGGTTGGACAGAGCCTTGGTTTAGTGTGAGGTGCCCCTGCCCATGGCAGGGGGTTGGAACTGGATGATCTTAAGGTCCTTTCCAACCCTACCTGTTCTCTGATTCTATGTGATTCTGTATGACTTCCCCTCATGCAGTCTGGGGCACACTGGGCAAGCCTTGGAGCATCACTTCCCTCCCCAGTGCCCCCCCAGCAAACCATAGGCCTGCAAACTTCTGAGGCGTGGGATTAAATAAGTTAATGATGTGAGGAAGGTGCAGAGGAATTGTTGTCTTGCTGGTAAAATACAGCAAACCACAGAAAGTGAGGATTGATGGCAGGGGTCAAAGGCTCACACTCCCTTCTGGAACCAGGCTGAGATCTCCACGGGGTCCCCCATCCCAGAGTGGCTGCACATTCAGTGCCAGCATGAAGGAGCAGGGCAGAAATGATCACAACCAAGTAATTAGCAGCACAGCAGCCGGGAGGGCTGCACAGACACAGAATGGTGCAAAAGTGCGACACAGCAGATTTCAGCATTGTCAGGGGTTTTCTGCTGGAGCCAAAAAGAGCAGGGGAAGATCTGAGGCATCAGATGGGGGAACATCTCATACAGCCTCATTGTCAGTGGCTGATCTAGGCTCTGTGTCACTCCTTTTGCACACTACACCTGCTGCATAACCTGCTGTATGAGGCTCTTTTGGCGTAAACCACTTTCAGCAGAAGCTTGCCTACGCTCTTCTTTAAAACCTCTGATCACGGAGGCTAAACCCATCCTGGTCCCCCCAGCATCCTGCGCCAGCATTGCTCTGAGCCAGCAGACCTGTGCAGATCCCTGTGCGCCCCGAGCCACCAAATAACAGAGCTGCCAACTGGCACGTCTTTCCAGGGTGGGAAAAGGGATGTGAGAGCTGAACTGTCCCTCCTATGGGGAGGATTTGATTGATGCTAGGAGGGACCCCGGTGCGATGCAGCGCGAGGCAGCCGTCCCTGCGCGCTTGGCTGATGGGGTTAACGGGGTCTGCCCGCTCCGAGCCGTGGCCGCCCAGCACCCCCAGCCCATTTCACACATGCCATCAAACATCTGCTGGGCTGCAATGACTCCCCATCACTGCCGACCAGGGCCGTATTGGAGGCAGTGACCTCCGGCTGGGAAGCACCGGAGCCCATCGCCAATCTGCCGGGCCAGCTGTCAGCAACGATAGCGAGCCACGGCGGGCCAGAGCCACACGCAGGGCTCAGACCAGCGTGCTGGGAGCAACGTGGGCTCCTGTGGCTGCAAACACCATCAATGTGAGCCGGTGCTGCTGGGGGGGGGGGGGGGTTGGAAAAGGCATTTGAGACCTTGATGCTCTTTCTTGGCAAAGCCCCAACCTATAGACAGTGAAAAGAACCAGGCATAAAACTGTGATGTCCCCTGCTTTTATTTTATGTGTTTATTTTATTTGGTGTGTTTCTTTTCAAGGGGATTACCAATAAATTTAATTTCAATACCGTTAATCCCCATATATATTTACTGAGGGCAATTAGCTGGCATTTATATTAAATATACACAATAGACAGTTGAATATACAGTTTATATAGCATAATTAGATTGATATACA